TTAAAGTTATGACTTTGGTGGTTCCTAAGGTCCAAAAGGTTGGCAACCCCTGGACTAGACAGATGTTGGCTTAAACTTAAAGCCTTAATCGAGCCACCTATTATCCAGACGTCTCGCTTTCTGATGTCCGCCCTGGAACATCAAAGGATGCTTACCTGTAATAGGTGGGACTAGAGTTGAATGGGAACGGGACCAACCGTTCTCTATGTCCTTTGTTTTTCCTCTCTGATGTGCCTGTTAGACACAGGTGGTCCTCAAACTTACAACAGTTCATTTAGTGACCGAAGTTGCAGCGCCACTGAAAAGAGTGATTCACGAGCATTTTTCAGACGACCGTTGCAGTACTTCCCGCCTCCCAGGTCACATGATCAAAATTCAAAATTCATTTATGATTTAGGATTTATGAACAATTTTCATATTTATGATGGTCACAGGGTCCCCTTTTCTGAGAAGCAAAGTCCATGGTGAAGCCAGATTCAGTTAATGACTGTGACTTAACAACTGCACGGATTATTAGCTTAACAACCGTGGCAAGAAAAGGGGATACAATGAGGCAAAACTCACTTAACAGACGTCTCCCTTAGCCACAGACATTTTGGGCTCAATTATGGTCCTAAGTTGAGGACAATTGTATCTGATTTTTTTTCCCCCTTCCACATCTTCCCCTTCCTTCCTCTTGTTTTTCGCACAAATAAAATCAGACCAGTCCTCTTTTGGAAAAAAAAAATACTGTTTAATTTCTTTGCTCTTTTTAAACATTCCTCCTTTTTTTTTCTTGATTTCCCTAAAAGCAGAAATATTCCCTTTTTTAAAATTTTGACCTCTTTATTAATTATTATTATTATTATTATTATTTCAACATCTCTTTTTAAGTGCCCATTCCTGGTACTTAAAAAACAAACAAACCCACACACACAGAGTAAATTCACAGTATTTTTGCCAAAAAAAAACCCAAAACCCAAAACGGTTCTTATTGCTGAATCAAAATCCAGGCAGAAGGTTGATTGTGGAAGTAGTTAGGGCCAGTCCTGTCATTCCTGAAGGTTTGTATTTTTCTCCTGATGATACAGCTCTTCCTTTCCCATAAACTCCACCTTCCTTCTGAATTCTTTGGCCCTTATCTCCCTTCTTGTGTGTGTTTGTTTGTGTGAGTGTGTGTACTGGTACCGAGGAGTTGCTCGACAGTTCGACAACCCCAAATCAAGAACTATTCACAGTGATGCAATGAGGATAACTCTTCCCCAGAAGAACAACAAACACGGTTGAATCTTATCTACTTGGGGTTCCTCAAATGTGGCAGCTTGATGATGTGTGGACTTCAACTCCCAGAATTCCCCAGCCAGTGTGATTTAAGGGGCAGGGGGAGGCCTGTCAGACCAAGCCAATCATATCTAGTCTCCAGGATGAGGTCAGCCTCTGCTTCCTGAACTTTGCACTCCTCTATAGAAGACGGAGAAGGCAACTGTTGGGTTTTGCAATGCTCTGAAGAACCACCTCCCTTTTTTTCAGGAAGGAAGCCATGGTGAGAAACCTCTCCACTGTTTCCCAGCAGCTCCCATCATGCTGACTGGCCGCAGCTGGTGACAGCTGGAGTCTCCCATGAAGAACCCCTCAGAGATGTCCTACCGCTGGTCCACAGTGGTGGCCATCACCAATGTTCTACGTCATCGTTACATAAAACCAACTATGAACAAGATCGACCAAGCCTGCAGGAATAAACTCAGGAGTATTCAGTGCATCTAAGTAGACAGAATTTTGTAAAGAAACACAGAGGTGGCCTTCAAGTATCTAAGATGGTCAAAGATGGGAGAAGACAATGGTTTGGAATTGTTTCAGAAGACAGAATAAGACCTTGTGAGAGTTTAGATTACAAGGAAAATGTTTCAGGCCGAACCCCAGCAAATAAGCCCTATCAGGAGATGTTCATCGATGGAACAGAGATCTCCAGAACCGGAAAATCAGCTCACCCAAGCTTGATATTCAAATTTAGAGTTGGAAACAAGAAGAAAAACGAAAGAACAGGACTTTTTAAATTGAGTTGTGGCTAGTTGGCATGACCTTACATGCAACAATCTTTAAACTGTGGCATCCCTGGTCCTCTCTAAACTGGGTTGTTTTCCTTCAGACATTTCATTACTAAACTAACATCATCAGTGTTAGTGTGTGTGCCTTGCTCCCTGTTAGTATACAGTAGTTCTGAGCTTGGTTGTTTTCCTTCAGACGTTTCGTGACCCAACTAGGTAGTAACATCATCAGTGCTAGTGAGTGAGTGGCTTGCTCTCCCTGTTTATATTCAGTCGATCTGAACTTGGTTGTTTTTCTTGCAGGCGTTTCATGACCAGATTAAGTTACATCATCAGTGCTAGTTGGTCTTTAAACTCCCCTGGTGTCTTTAGCAAGAATACCACCATTTTTTTTTGGCTGCCTACAATATTGTGTGAAATGTCTCTCTTTCTCAGGCAAGTTTTATGCAGAAACAGTATTGCAAAGAGCCAGCTGGTTTTTGTTTTAAGAACGTACCTACCCTATCTTTACTCTCTCTTTTTTTAAAAAAAAAAAAAACCAATAGAAAATCACAGAATGGAGACCTTCATCAGGATACATTCCCTCCTTCTCTTTGAAATCTAAAGCAGAGTAGACCTTCCCAAGCCCCAATACTCTTTGCCTCAGGGATCCAGCCCAGAGGAAAAAGCAAACCACGGTTTTCCAAGCTTTGGAGGGAGATGCACAGGCCAACTTCCTAAGATTTCCTAAAAGTTAAATCTCTTTTATCGCACCTCGCTGCCATGTCTCCCCATGTCTTCCCCGCAGGCGTCGGGCAAGCTGCACCCCTCCACATCCCCAGCAACCCAACCGCAATTACCGTTAGATAATTAATTTCTGAAATAGCCAGGAGGCACAAAGACAATGCCAGAGGATACGCTGAAAATGCAACGAGCCTCTTTTAAATTAAACTATGCCCCCATACCTCAAATGAGCATTGCCAAATTAATTTGGCTTCCCATCGTGCCAGCCATAAACCGAGTTCTGTTCTTGCAAATCCAACTGTCTCCTGCAAAGCCCTAATTCATAGATATATCCAAGTAGTCCTTGACTTACAGCCACATGAGTGGTGGGATTCAAAAAATTTTTTTTACTACTGGTTCTGTAGGCGTGGCAGAGGAAGGATACTGTAAAATCTCTAGTCAGAGGTTGTATTTGCCGGTTCTCCGAAGTACTCAAAATTTCCGCTACCGGTTCTCCAGAACTGGTCAGAACCTGCTGGATACCAACCACCTCTGGGCCACATCTGTTCTGTGAGTTTTGCCCTGTTTTTACGACCTTTCTTGCCACGGTTGTTAAGTGAATCTGACTAGTCAAGGACTACTTGTAATATCCATTTCCCAGCCCGAGATCTCCCTGTGGTCTCCTTTCCAAGAACCTTCTAGATATTTGCAGTTATCCAAGCTTGGTCAGCCATTTCCCCCACGTCTATCCATCTTCTTACATCCTGCTGGAGACTGTGAACCATACCAGAGAGGCAGTAAAAAAAATCATTCTATCTTTCCTTCTTTTTAAAGGGCAAATATGCTTGTTTTTAGATCTGCCCGGCTCGGATCACAGCCCCGATAACTTCTCTTCTCTAGCTAGAGATATTTAATTTCTCAAAATCCCACAGCATTGTTGTCAGCAAGCAAAAAAATAACATCAAGTTTAAGCCGACATTTCTGCATCACACTGATTATTTGATGTAAGTTTTCCTCCCTGGGCTCTTTTCCTCGGCAAAAGAAAAATAGTCTGCATATTTCTGTATTGTTCTGTAAACATTTACCCCCCCAAAAGTCCAGCTCTCTCCCACCATTAATTAATTAATTCAAAGTTTGTTCTCTGCTGGTTGGCATCCCTTATGCTATTCCTACTTGGGCACAGTGAGTGCTAAACTGTCTTTGGATCGTTCTGCATCCTGGATCTCTGTTCTCCTAAATGATACAGGGCAGAGAGGCTTTCAATTTTGATTCCTTCCCCTTATTTTTCTTTTTTTCAATTAAAAAAAATAGGGCTTTTTGCTCTGTGCAAAACTACAAAGAGGCTATTTGGGCTGTGCCTGGCATGAAGCTGGACAAGGGGGAATTTCTAAACAGGAATTGTTTAATTTAAAGGGAAAGAAGTCCTCCTCAAAGAAAATGGAAGTGTCTTCTTGTGGTTTTTTTAAGAGGAAAACAGTGGGGGGAGGAAAATAAATAAGAAGTGTTTGAGAAAAACCACTGGAATCAAACTTTACAGGCCACTAAATCAACAATGGGATGAGAGACTGTGTAGCAAGGGCCTGGCTTTCTGCAACAGGCAGAAGTTCAAAGGATGCAGTTTAGGATGAAACGATATTTCGGCCTGTGTTCAACCCCAGGACAGAAACAAGACCGTTTTGGGGGGAGTGGGGTGGAAAGGGGTGTCTTTTTAAACAATTCCTGTCCCCTCCTTACAGTAAAGCTTCTGCCACACACATTAAAAACAAAAAGAGAACACAATTCCTTGCTGGTTTTTTTTTTCCTCCTCTTCCTCCTCCTCCTCCTCCCTGACAGACTCACGGAGACCCAAATGCAGATTAAGGCAAATGTTTGGCAACGCAAAGCAAACGTTGTCGACGTGTAAGGCCGCACAACTTGGCTTTTAGGGAACAAAACCAAAAACGGAACAGGCACCACTCTCAACCCATCATCCACGCCCTGGTCCACGGAAAGCCACAGTGCGCATATGGGCAGCACCCACTCTGCCACATTCATTCACCCCTTCCTTCCTTCCTTCCTTTCTCTCCTTCCTTCCTTCTTCCCTCCTTTTCCTCTTTCTTCCCTTCCTCTCCTTTCTCACTCCTTTTCCTTTCTCTTTTTCTCTCCTCCCTCCCTCCCTTTCCTTCCTTCCTCTCCTTCCTTCCTTCTTCCCTCCTTTTCCTCTTTCTCTTTCCTCCCTCCCTCCCTCCCTCCCAACCGATGCCTCCCACCCCTCTTTTCTCTTTCCCCCTCCTCCAAATAAAACTCACTTTTTTTCTTTCTTTCTCCAGAACCCGCCAGCCTTAAACCCACCCGACAGAACATCAAATAACCACCGAAGGGAGGAAAAAAGCAAATTTTTAAAAACCTGGAAGTAAGAGCGGAGGCATCGGGACTCAGACAACCCAAATCCCCCTTCCCTCCCCTCCCCTCACACACACACAGACACACACACACACACAACCAGGCTAGAAATCTTGAAGGCAGTCCTTAAAGTTGACCTTGGCGAGCACAGTGAAATCCGTTCTGATGGGACAAGGCAGAATGGCTGCATTTTGATTTGCTTTTTTTTCTGATAAATGAGTTTAAAAGTGCACCTCTGTTTTTGCTGATTTCTCTTTCTCTCTCTCTCTCTTAAATACGAAGTGTTTCTTTTCTTCTTCTTTTCTTTCCCCCCTCTCCGTTCCTCTTGTTTCCTCCCTACCCCCCCCTTGCCACAGGGGGGCTCCGATTACCGACGCTTTGGGGGTATCACCACTAGGGGGCGCCCGTCATTGGGCCTCCACATGAGGACCTGGGCGTCGTTGGCGTTGGGTTTGACCAGGGCACTGGGTGGGATGGGCTCGTTCCTGCTGAGGATTTGGGGCTGCTCTTGGGCAGAAGGTTCCCTCAGCTTGGCCCGGCGCCCGAGGGGATGGCTGGGCTCCACGTCAATGCCCAGTTTCATCCGCCACTTGATAGTCTGAAGGATGACCATCTCGTTGGTGGTGGCGTTGGTGGCCACCAGCCACGTGGTGAAGCTCTGGTCACGGTGGATGCACGTCAGCTTGGGCACGTTGCTGTCGCTCACTGGGACGGCCCAGGTGACGCTGGGATAGAAATTGTCATTCATGCTGACGGTGAACTTGGCTTCTTTCTTGGTGGGACCTACGATGGTGCAGGTCTCGGTGGTGTTGCCATACCAGGGGTAGTTGACGCCGTCTGAGTCGCTGATGGCTTGGATCTTGCCCTCCAGGAGGTCAGGAAGCTCCCAGCTTGACCTGGGTGGCAGAAAGCGAGAAAGAAGGACCAGGTAGAAGAAGGTAGTTAGAATTTAGGACTAGCTCGATCCACAGGCTTTGCTATGAAACTATGTGGTTGGGCTTAGTTTTGGGGGAGGAATCCCCCATGTTCACGTGATCAAAATTCAGATGCTTGGCAAATGACTCGTATTTATGACGGCTGTGTAAATACGTGATCCCCTCTGGCAACCTCTGACAAGCTGGATTCACTTAAAGACCGCATTGCTAACTTAACAACTGAAGCAATTCACTTAACAACCGTGGCAAGAAAGGACATAAAATGGGTGAGGGGGAAATCATTTAACTGTCTTGCTTAGCAACGGAAATTTGTTTTGAAAGACATGCTAACTTTGAGCCTGAAGGGCCATCTTGATCAATGTTCGTCAGCCATGGCGACTTTAAGACGTGTGGACTTCAACTCCCAGAATCCTCCTGTCATCAGAGGAGAATTCTGGGAGTTGAAGTCCACATGTCTTAGATGAGAAACCGGATCTTGACTTAACACTCATTGGCTAATATCCTAAGCATCTAGTAGAGTAGAGTAGAGTAGAGTAGAGTAGAGTAGAGTAGAGTAGAGTGTTCTAACCGTTGGTTGGAACTGCTAGTTGATTCACTTGTGCCTCGAATGGATGCAGCAAAACCACCAATGGTGGCTTATTCAGCAAACTACAGTCAAACTAGCCGTAGCCTGCAGTGACTGATAGACCAATTTTCTCGACCTCCCTAATCTTCTTTGACAGCCATCCAAAGCGGTGGCTGAAAGCCAAGCGATGTGTCTTGCAAAGGAGCGATTCTCCGTTCGTCATCACAACCTCAAAATAGCTTCCCAGATGACTAAACACCAGACTTTCATTTATTTTAAAGGACAACAGTTTACAAAAGCTTTACCACATACGTGCCCCATGGTTGCAAGCGACACTTTGAGTGTGGACGGAAAAAGTGATGTACTGGAAGGCTCCCAGGATGGATCCCCATTCTACATTCAGTTTTCTATCCAGTTTTTCAATTTTGAAGTAATAAACTGGAAGACTTGGAATAACTGAATAACAGACTTGGAAGGGACCCCGGGAGCCTTCTGGTCTGACCCTCTGCTTCAGCAGGAAACCCTATTCCATTCCAGACAAATGGCTGTCCGGTCTCTTCTTGAAACCCTCCAATGATGGAGCAGCCACAATTTCTGGAGTCAAGTCGTTCCACTGATTAATTGTTCTCACTGTAAGGAAATTCCTCCTTAGTTCAAGGTTGTTTCTCTCCTTGACTAGTTTCCAAACGCAGCCAAGGAGCTTAGCTTGTTCAAACACGGCCACTATGTTATAGCTGAGCTAGAGAGAAAGAGAAAGAGGGAGATGATAGTTGGATGGATGCATGGCTAGACAGACAGACAGACAGAGAGGTGACATGGATGAGTGAGTGTGGGCGGGGGGGAGATAGATATCGTTTCTGTTTGTGACTGTGTGTTGTGTGAGAGAGACAAAGAGTGTGTGTCAAAACCAGAGGGACATAAATATATATATATATATCGGTCAGGTGTTATTTGAAAGGCAGAAGCTTCCGTGACCTGCCGCAAGCAACCTGCTAAATAAATAAAAGAAACGCCAAATAAATAAGTAACAACTCTGCCTGAGCATCGGAGGCGTGCTGCTCCACGAAAGCCGATGCCTTTCAGTCCAACCTCTTAGGTCAGGAAAGGGGTGGCCATCAGCTAACCAGCCCTCCTCCTAGCCATGCCCACCCTCTGAACTCGGCCCCTGCCAGGTGGCTTTCCTTGACCTGCAGATGGGGATCGGTGGGTTTGCCGCCTGGAAAGCAAGCGAACACGAGCTGCCTCCAAGGAGGAGCATCTTGGTTTATTTCGCTCAAACAACAACAAAAAAAACCCCAAACAGCTGGGTCCACCCTACCATAAGCCCCCGCAGAGCCAGCCATGCTATTTGCTAACCGACTTCCCTTGTGCCTTGCATGCACATCGGCGGAAGCAAAAGCCCCTCGCTCGCTCTCCTATCTTCCAAACTCATCCGTTTCTGCAAATTTAGGAAGTCTCGTTAGGCATTCTGAATGACCCTTTGTCCTGGCCGTGGCTGAGACCGAGCCCCCCCTTCCTCCCCCCGGAAGGATGGCGTGGCCTTCTTGGGTGATTATTCTGGCATTTCCTCCCCAGGGTACGTGCAACTCCAAACAGGAACCTATACGACAAGCAGGGACCCTTCCGCAAAGTGAGCTCTGCCCCATTTTGCAACCTTTCCTGGCCACCGTTGTTAAGTGGATCGCGTGCACGTCGTTGAGTTTAGTCACACGTTTGTGGAGTGGGCTTGCTTTCCCCCACTGACTTGGCTTGTGAGGAGGTCTCAAAAGGGGATGGCGTTGACCCCCCACCCCCGGGGGCGTAACTATGAGTCAGTCGCCAAGTCTCTGAATTTAGATCACGTGACCTTGGGGATGCTGCAAATGGTCGTAAGTGTAACGATTGGTCATATCAATCACTGTTTTCAGCGGATGTTGGAGGTCTTCTAATGGCTGCCCAGTCATTTTTGGACCATTCACATCTTCTGGAGTCAAGTTCTTCCACTTATTAATTATTCTGGCTCTCGGGAAATTTCTCCTTAGTTCTAGGTTGCTTCTCTCCTTGATCAGTTTCCATCCATTGCTTCTTGTCCTGCCTTCAGGGGCTTTGGCGAACAGCTTGACTTCCTCTTCTTTGGGGGGCAGCCCACTGAGATATTGGAAGACTGCCATCACGTCCCCCTTGGTCCTTCTTTTCACATACCCAGTTCCAGCAACCGTTCTTTTCAGTGGTGGGATTCAATTCTTTTTTTTTTTACTACCAGTTCTGTGGGCATAGCATGGCAGGCGTGGCTTGGTGGGCGTGGCAGAGGAAGGTTACTGCAAAATCCCCCTTCCCTCCCCACCCCACTAACCTGCTTTCCAGCTCCGTTCTCCTGTGCAGGGCAACCAAAGGAGACCCAGCCGATCAGCTGGGACTTGGGAGGCAGAGAAGAGATGGGGTTGGCAGGGCCAGTCAGAGGTGGGATTGGTTGGTTCTCCGAACTACTCAAAATTTCCACTACCGGTTCTCCAGAACTGGTCAGAACCTGCTGAATACCCACCTCTGGTTCTTGTATGTTTTATCCTTCAGCCCCCTAATCGTCTGAATTGATCTTCTCTGCACTCTTTCTAGAGTCTCAACATATTTTTTTTTTTTAAACCAGGCCAGATTTAAACAGGAAAAAAGGGCCTAATCTTCTTCTGCAGATGGTTGTTTCTTTTTAATGCCTGCTGTTTTGAACTTCCCTTTCTGCTCTTGGGCTGGTAAGGCTGGTCTACTCGAAGCAAGCTTCCTCTTTTACTTCCTGTGTTAACTGCCAGCCAGATGTCAAGCGCTTCAAGCATTCCTGCCATGCCTGAGCGTGCCCAAGTAAAGCTAAGTATGGTTGCGCTTCAGACAATCTTGAGCTGAAAAAGGCTGGAAGAGTGCCCACAAGGGCTTATGAGGGCAATGATAAGGCGTTTCCTTCATCTCCAGGGCGATTTAATTCAGCATCACAAGGGACTAGAGCCTTGGCTGATGCTAGATCTGGCTTCGAGTGCCATAAACTCCTAAGTTCAACCTCAACCAGATCCAATTCTGGTCACCAGTCACCACCATGTACACAAAAGGAAGAAGAGGCGAGCAAGAAAAATAAGAGGAGTGGAGGCTAAACCCTGGACATCCATTTGTCCAGAATGGGATAGAGTCTTCTGCCTTGAGCTGTTATGGTTTGCCAGCAGCAGGTGCGGACAGCTGAGAGTGAGGACTCAGGTGAGGGCCCTGCGTGTGATGCAGGGATGGGGCCAGGACCATCAGGGAGTGGAGTGCTGCCTCCGGAGATTGTGGAGGCTGGCAGCAATGATGAGGAGGCCCCCGAGGAGCCTGTGCCCAGTGCGTGTGCACGCAGGGCTGCTCGAAGGAAAGAGCAGCTGTTGTACAGTTGTGAGTTTTAACAGGCCTGGCAGGGGAGGATTCTTGGATTCTCAGTCAAATTGGTTCTCCAGAGGTTTCTTGTGTTTAACCAAAAGGAAGTTAACATGACAATAGGTTGATGGTGCAAAACTCTGTCATTCCCTCACCCTCCACACTCTTCCACACACTGAATCTACATTTCCTCTGGCTTTGCACAATACGCCAGGTCAGTGTTTCTCAACAACTGGCCACCTTGAGGATGGGTGGACTTTAACTCTTAGAATTCCCCAACCAGCATGCTTTAAGGCTGTGTGAACTTCAACTGCCCAAAATTCCTAGCATGTTGGCTGGGGAATTCTGATAAGCCCATGCATTTTAAAGCATTTAGCCTGGGGAATTCTGGGATTTGACATGTACCCATTGTAAAGCATGCTAGCTCTTAAAACATGTTGACTGGGGAATTCTGGGAGTTGAAGTCCATGCATCTTAAAGCATGCTGACTGGAGAATTCTGGGATTTGACATCTACCCATTGTAAAGCATGCTAGCTCAGGAATGCTGGGAGTTGAAATCTACTCAACTTAAAACATGCTGGCTAGAGAATTCTGGAAATTGAAATCCATTCGTCTTAAAGCATGTTGACTGGGGAATTGTGGGAATCAAATCTGCCCCTAAGTAAAGTTAGTTTATATGTGTAAATGAATATATTTGCAGAGTCTCATGGGTTAAATCAATCAATCTTAGTCGCTCTAGGCTGGCTGGAATTGGACTCCCAGAATTCCCCGGAAAGCATTCCTCTATGTATCTTAAAGCATGCTGGCTCAGCAGTTCTGAGAATTGAACTCGGTCCATCTTAAAATTAGCCAGGCTGAGAAACACTGCATTACCCCTTCAATAAATCCAAACGTATAAATCCTGCAAAAATAATAATAATAATAAAAAATCCTGCAGAGAGGCAGCCTGTCTTGCAAACAGCGCTAGTCCAGACCCTCCCCCCACCCCCCAAAAAAGACAAGTCACTTACATGCCATGGTCGCCGTAGTAGTTATAAAACTCCATGTGACTGCAAGCCTGTATCCAGCCTACAATCCAGGTCTCCTTTTTGGGCACGGGAGGCAACAGGACTTGAGCCGAGGCGCGGAAATGCGGGGTGCGGTACCTCAACACCACGCTGGACGACTCGTCGATGTTGGTGGGGACGGGGTCAATGGAGGTCTTGATCTCCAGGACCGTGATGCTTTCCCGAAAGCCTTTCGCCTTGCAGCTGATGCTCTGGATACAGCCCATGGCCCAAAGTACCAGCACGATCGCCAGAAGGCACCAACAGTCCTCTTCATCGGTCAATTCAAAACTGATATCCATAGGATAGAAGATACATTCTCATTAGAAGCCCTCGACCGGTTTCTGGCAGGCTGGATAAATCAATTTCTTTTCTTTTCTTCTTTCCTTTTTTTTCTTTTGCCCTAGGGGTTAAATTTCTCTGTGCCACTGAGTCAAATCCACGGCTTTTGCTCCAAAGGGAGGAGAGGCAAGGCTAATAATCCACTTTTGCTTGATTTTGTGTGTGTGTGTGTGTATGTGTATGTGTGTAAATCCAGCTGGCTTCGATTCCTTGATCAGTGAGTTACAATCAACTGGCCTTATATTTCCTTTGATAAATTTCTTTGGGTTGTGTTTTTGTTTTTGTTTTTAATCTTTCTCTTCTGGTTTTAATCTTTTAAAACAAGATGAAGGCGAAGAATAAATGTGTCTCTTTCAGCTCGAGGTTCTAGTTTCTCGTTGACGGCTTCAAGTTTTCGCTTCCTGGTGGAGATTCATTCATAACTTCCCCTTCAGGAAAGCAAAAAAAAAAAAAAGCATTAATTCGATTTTGTTTTTGAAACAGCCAAAGAGATTTTATTTTCCCAAACATCATTCAAACAAAAACCCAAATTGGTCAGTTTTGGCATATTTAACCCATTGTCTCTTATTTATCTTCTTTTTCAGCTACTAAAAAACATTTGCCCAGGTGTAAAAAAAAAAAAAAGCACCATTCAAAAATAGTCACAGTTTTCTGGCCCCGCAGATTTATTTATTATGAAATTTATATGCCGCCCATCTCGCCAAACGGAGACTCTAGGCAGCTTACCACAAGTAAAAAGAACAGAATAAAAGCTAAAAACATTGCACAAAGGAATATAAGCATTCAAATGAATTCAATAAAAATTAAATTAAATAATTAAAGTTTGCCCTGTTTGGTAACTGTAATGGAAAATAAGAGATGAGCTCCACATGGAAATATTAGGAAATATGTGGTATATATTAGCATGCAGTACCTAATTCCTGGCTAAAGAGTTGCCTGAACCATAAGATGAGTGGCAAATAAATTTGATTGATAGATACCCGTAGATAGATAGATAGATAGATAGATAGATAGATAGATAGATAGATAGACAGACAGACAGAGAGACAGACAGAGACAGCTAGAAGAAATAGATAAGGAGATGATAGATAGATAGATAGATAGATAGATAGATAGATAGATAGATAGATGGATGATGGATGGGTAGATAAGATATAAGATAGGAATAGCACTTAGACTTACTTATATACCGCTTTATAGTGCTTTACAGCACTATAGATATGATAGATGATCTATAGAGGGAAACAGAGATAGTAGATAGAATAGATAATTGATGATGAATGATAGATCAATAGTAGACAACAGAGAGGAGAGGGAGAGAGAGAAAGAGAGAGAGAAATTAGGGCCACAATCAATAAAGGCTACTAAAACTTACAGGAGTTTTAATCATCCAAAGTCCAGTTTTGACTCTCCAAATCTGTCACTACAATCTGCACTAGTTTTCAAGGTGGGTCACAATTTGTGGGTTTGCTGTGAAGTGTCCAGGTTACAAACACTGTTTTAGAAACAAGCTTAGCGAGGCCAACCAAGCCCTCCAAGGAGTTCTTAAGTTAACAGAAACACATGTCCTTCCTTCCTGTAGTCACATCCGTAAAATGGTAGGAAGGACACACACACACACACAAAAGAGAGAGAGAGAGACAGAGAGAGAGAGAATGGATGCAAACCATTCCTCTCAAGAGCCATTGATTCAGAATTTAGCTTCCTTCTGGCCCAAGATGAGATCTTGCCAGAGTCTTTCATGCCTTTACTTACCTTTGGGCAGGAATAGTGTTAATCATTGTAATAATGATCTCTACCTCCTTCTTTCAAAGTTCCCAGAGATTCCGAAATATCCAGCTTTTCACCAAGTCCCCCATCACCAGTGGACAATTCCACCCCATTTCCCACCACCACACACACAAAAAAGGCAATTTACACGTTCATCGAAATCGTCCCGCGTGGTTTTCTTTTCGGAGGCAGCATCTACCCACCTAAATCTCCCACGCGATCGATCTGCTCCAAAAGCGAAGTCGGGGTGCTGGCAGGCCAGGCGGAAAAAGTTTGATTTCAACTTTTCTCTCTCGTGGGTTGTTGTTGGTTTGTTGGTTTGGGTTTTTTGGGGGGGACCCCCTTCTCTCTCTCTCTCTCCTTCTCTGGCGGGTTCTTAATTATTATTATTATTTTCGCCCCTTCTGTCTCGTTCTCTCTTTTTATTTTAAAACCCCTACCCGCCCAAAAAACCAGGTCTGAGGCTCCCACGCTGGCTCCCTACCGTCGGCTGCTGAGCGCCCTAGTGTGTCCCCAGCGCCGCCACTCGCTTGCGCATCAATCGCGCCTTTGGTGACCGCGCGGCGCACATCACAATCGCCGCCCGCCACGTTCTCCCCAGCCGCCCCCCCCACCCGCGGAGGGGGCCCCCCACCTGAAAGAGGGGCTGGGGAGGTGGTGGAGGTGGGGGGAGCGGCCCCCCGGCGACCAGCAGCCGTGCTGGGGCTCCTCTTTGGCGCCCCCTCCCCGGCGGCGCTTTCCTCCTCGCCCTCCGTCTCTCTGCGCGTCTCCGCGTCCTTCTCGCACCCGGCCAACGCCGCAGCTGGAAAGCTGCAGGCGCCGGGCTCTTCCTCGCCTCCTCTTCCTCGCTGGCCTCTGCCTTGCTTCTCCTGCTCCTGCTGCTGCCTTGCAGGGTCTAGCCAGCCCCGGCGGCGGCGGCGGCGGCGGCGGGGGAGCCAGGCGCAAGGAAGCTTGGCTCTTGGCGAGGACCCGCGCGCCGGTGCGTCTTCTGCTCTTCTTCGCCTTGCGACCGCCTCCGCCGGCCGCGGAGAGGGTCCTCGGCGGCGCGGGGCGGGCAGTTCCCTGGCTTGGCTGGCTCGTCCCTACGCTGCCCTTCATCCAGCCCCGTGCAGCCTCCTCCTCCTCCTCCTCCAGCTCCGGGGATCTCCGGACTGCCTCGCTCTGGCAAGCTTGCGCACCGACCGCGCCACCTTCCGCTTTTTTTGTTTTTTTTTTTAGGGTGCCGCGGAGGGGGGGAAGGCCCCCGGATAAGCGGGTCGCCCTTTTGGCCCCCCCCCCCCCCCCCCCCCCCCGGGGCCAGCGCCGGCCCCCCCCCCCCCCCAACGTTCCCCAAGGAGCAGCCCGCGCGTCTGGCTTGGATCCGCAGCCACCTTCCGCGCAAAGGCGGCGGAGGCGGCACCCCGTCCTTCCCAGCCGCGCGCTAGAGAGGTGCGCGCTGCAATCCTGAGGCCCGATGACTTTGCCCTCGCCTTCTCTTGCTTCGTGGAGCAGGGGATCGGGGCGGCAGCTTGGGGTGCAGGCTCTTTTGCGCCCTGCTTGCGCGCCTCGCCCGCTTTCCCTGCCCTCCTTCCCTAGGCGGGCAGCGGGCAAAGAGGCGAGTGGGGGTGAAAGGCAGGAGTCCGCCCCCAGCCCCTCCCCGGGCTTCATGGGCTGCACCGGCGAACAAACTTTTGCAAAAGAAAAAAAAATATCTGTCTACATACCTACCTACCTACATCCATCCATCATCCTCTAAGGTCCTTTCCAACTCTTATTCTGTCCTCTATCTATCTATCTATCTATCTATCTATCTATCTATCTATCTATCTATCTATCACTA